ATCTCGACATATTTGCAATCGGAACAGTTTCTGTCAATGACAGTGAACCTAGAATTGTTAATAATATTTGATAATACTCCTAATACTACGTGTGTGTATGTACGTAAAATTTAAATTAAATTTGCATAGTGAGGGGTGGAGTCCAACTGTAACCAGCAGCTCATATCCGAGATTTATATATTTAAGAGCATCACATAGGATACAAGGGAAAAAAGATGACATGTCATCATGGTTACGACACTGTGTTGCCTGGTATAATGTTACATTGCAGCATCCTGTTGCACTGCTTAGATCTGACTTTGCATTTTGCTTTGATGCTGTCTGTGTGCAACGTCAGTTAACATTCTCTCACAGTTTTCTCTTTGTCGTCACTACATGTTTCGGCCTAACCAACCATCTTCAGGTGTACAGGTTGTCGTGATCAAGGAACCTGCTGCTCACTGTAACGCTGTTCTGTTTCTGTCATGTGGAGGCCTCGGATTGCACCTGGTTATGTGGGTTAACCATCTGTTTTTTGTTTAGGCGTCCTTGAGCTGGGCATATTTGTTGTGCTGTGGTTGGCCATCAACACAACAAATTCTAGCCCCAGCAAGAACATTCAAGACAGCCACAGCCAAAAAAACCTTGAAGCAAACACCAGCAGCTCAAGGACACCTAAATAACCCATATAACCAGATGCAATCTGAGGCCTCCACATAACAGAAACAAAACAGCATTACACTGAACAGCACATTCTGCAATCACAACAACCTGTACACCTGAAGATGGCTGGTTGGGCCGAAACATGTAGTGTCAATAAAGAAAAGCAAGTGAACAGTAACTGATGTTGCACATTGACGGCATCAAAGCAAGACACAAAGTCGTATATGTGTTACCCTACTACAAGCAAACACAGTAAAGCAAGAGAGGCAGTTTGTTGGACAAATAAGTATCAGTCTGACATGGTCACACACATCAAACTGACATTTCTTCCTGTAATACTGTAATAGTATCTTCCTGTCATGTTTCGGTCTTGACATGCACAGATTTTCACTTCAGTCTTGACATGCATAGATTTTCACTTTAGTCTTGACATGCACAGATTTTCACTTCAGTCTTGACATGCCCAGATTTTCACTTCAGTCTTGACATGCGCTGATTTTCACTTCAGCCTTGACATGCATTGGTTTTCACTTCAGTCTTGACATGCCTAGATTTTCACTTCAGCCTTGACACACCCAGATTCTCACTTCAGTCTTGACATACCCAGATTTTCACTTGTCTTGACATGCATCGATTTTCACTTCAGTCCTAACATGCACTGATTTTCCCTTCAGTCTTGACATGCCCAGATTTTCACTTCAGTCTTGCCATGCATAGATTTTCACTTCAGTCTTGCCATGCATAGATTTTCACTTCAGTCTTGCCATGCATAGATTTTCACTTCAGTCTTGCCATGCATAGATTTTCACTTCAGTCTTGCCATGCATAGATTTTCACTTCAGTCCTGACATGCAGAGATTCTGGTGGCATAGCTGCAAGAGAAAAGGCTATCTGAAAGAGCCATGCATGGATGATAGGACAGCATAATGGAAGTCAGAGAAATGCTGTATCTTGCTTGTTATGACTGTACAGCAATAACTCATTCCTTTTATGGCAGACGAGTCACTTGAGGCATCGTGCTGGTGAGTCGCAGGCCTGAAACAATTACATGAATAGCATTAAAAAACAGGTTCTGATTTGCATCAAAATCTGTATGTACGATTTCAAACTTGATCCACTTTTAATTTCAACAAAATATAAAACTTCTATGTGGCTTGCAATGACACAAAAAATTTATGGTTACATAACATTCCTGCACGATAATACTTCCCCCCCCCTCCAACACAAACATGTTTACTGGTACTCTCAGGTTCAGTGTTTGCCTCAAGATTGAAAAATACAGATCAATGGTAAATGTGTGAGACTTTTGACAAGCTTGTCAATACAGATCAAGTATTTGCTGGTATACATACTGGCCTAAAGAAAAGGTACTAATAATACCCTTACACTAAGTAAATTTTGTTCAAAGATATCTCCATATTAGAACACTGTAAAAATATATAAAAGCAAAAACTTCAGCTCCTTAAAAATGGGAAATTAATTTCCATTCCCTTACAAACGCAAGCCATGCAATACTGCACTACTTACATATCCAAAATTTCATGGAAGAACTTATGCTTATTTTCCATTACCAAACTCCTGTCCAACCAAAATTCCCTGTCAATAATTATATAATTCTGTCCTCTACATTTCACCTACTACAGGCAAACCACCATGATATCCATAGTCACATTTGTAATTTTCACTGTTTCACAAACTCTGATGTCAGTACAGCTTTTATAAAATGCAATTATCTAGATTAGATTATTAGCGGGGACCAAATATTTGTTCTAGAAGAACCGGAAACAAAATGGAACAAGAATATACAAGCTCAATAACAAACATCGAGGACAATCAGCTCATAAAATGAAAATGCTGATCTTCCCCAGAACTTGAGTTATGTATCAGTTCCATCATTAAAAAACAGTGTTAACATTCTGCTCAACAATTAATAAAATATGGCTATAAACCACTCAAAAGACTATGCAAGGCATGGAGAATTGATGGGAGTGAACACAAACTTTCATATTGCAAAATTATTTGCAAAGAAAGTAATTGAAACAGTGAAGCTTCATTACTTACAGTTCACCATGACCAAGCTCGCACTTACCAATACAGAAGTGTTTAACACAAAATTTGTATCTACTTTTAAACTCTCTTACAACGGAAAATTTCATGAGCCAAATACAAACTAATCTATACTGTGAAGTGCTGTTACATAAGTACCTGTATAATATTAATCTTTTCTTCTAACAAATAACGAATCATATAAACCTGCATAACATTTCTAAGAAGTCCTTCCCTCTCTCTCCAATATGATCCCATAATGGCATACTTCAAATTCTCAATTTCTAACACGAATATTAAGAGTAATCATTATTTTGCACATAAAATCAGCATCTATATCTTTGTCATCACATGACATATCTGTTTCATTCCACAGCACACTGTGAGTTTGTTTCTTCTTTCGGTCACAGTGACGGGCTTACATTTACGTTTACAACTACCTCAGAGCTGAGGCACAGACACGTTCAACCATAACCCAACTGTAGAACTGCAGCTGCACCTCTAATAAGAGTCTATATGATTCAAATTTATATATTCACGAAGATTTACGATGAACAATATTATGTTAAGTACACTCGTCTCCTGCTTACTGAACAAATTTATAGCAAATCATCACAGCATACACAGAAAGTTTTTACATTACAAACATATCACACTACCTCAACGTACGTAAATATTACCGAATATTACTAATTAATTATAATCCTGTAACCTTAATTCAATTTGACATAACAAAACTCTACCCTGCCCCCTCCCAACGCTCCCAACTGACCAACCTGACAAACTTACGTAGCTCGAGCGGAGCGACCAAAATGCCAACATCTACATTCGAAAATACCCACCTTGGGTGCCAGCGTTATAGATAGCGTATCCATAGATATGTATGTTGAAACATTTCAAAACTTAAATTTACAAGGTACCTGCGCCAATGAACCTATAATATTAAGAATAAGAAAGTCTTTCCACCGTAGGGCTTCCAATATGAAAATCACTTGTCATACGATAATTCACACTGAAAACATATGACTGCACCTCACATTTTATTTCCTTTGTTCTTCTTAATTTTGTTGCAAATCTGGTTGTTAGGGAAGTATCCAGGCTTAAAGTATTTCCCCTCTCTATGTATATCCCGAGATAGAACAAGGAATTCTATAGGTCTCCACGTACTAATCAGCCTTCTGGTTGCAGTTCTTGCAAATTTCAACATTTCAGTTACTAGTGTGTTATTATCTTCCAAACTTAATGCAGGAGAAGTGGGTGTTCTGGCTTGTACATGTCTACATATACTACATACACAAACACCTTAAATTCTGCCTGTATAGTAACAAGCAGTCATCCCAAACTCTGGCATTTCCAGACAACCAGACTCTAAACTGCTTGTACCATGGACATCAACACAAGATGATGATGATGATTAGGGCCCGGGTTTCTATGACACGTTACATTTCTTTCCTAGGATTTATTCCTATTTTTTTAATGTAATTGTATATGTTTCTAGTCATTCTTGATTGTGCTTGGTGTCATGAACACACACTTCACCATATGACAACAATAATTGAGATTAACAGGACGATATGCAAGCTTATCTGCAGTCATGACAACTCGTACTCCGAATGCAAGGGTTTCTCTTGCACAATAACACCTTTTCAGTGTTGGATATAATAGCGGTAACAAAATCCTGAAATAAAAATTTGTACATCAAGCCATTTAGTTTGCTTTCCATTAAAGGGGCACACGGGTCTAAACGCAGCCTGTCACAGCTCTAGGTTCTCAAAACGGAACGTTGGTAAGGGTTCGAACGTATGATCGCCCTCAGCGTCTCCATCAAGGAGAAAAGCCAGTTTGTCTTTGGCATAATTACATCCAAGAGCTGATTTCACATCTTTGGAAGTGCAAATCCAGCTATTAGACTTCTCTTCAACACTGAAACCTTGTCTGGGCCAGTATCTACCCTCTTCGCTGATGCCTTCACCCTGGATGATAATGTCTCTACAGCATTAGTTTTACTCGTATAGTTCCCCATCCCATTCACCAGTTATCTTAATGTTGTGAAGACCCTTATTTACACTTAGGGCGGGAACGACTGAGTCCCTTCTTTCTTAGGCTGTAAAGGGCACACTTTAGCAGTCCCAGATAATAAATGAGGGAAATGGAGCATGTGCATTCTCGATTCAACGAGATGTCACATTGCCGACTCATGGGGAAAAGTTACTATTCCACAGGTGGCAGCAGCTTATGATTTTAAACAATCGATTGATTACTGTTGCTATGCAACGCTGCAAACATCATTAAACAAAATATACAATGGATTAGTTTTGGCACACAATAATTCTGTGGATCTCCAAGCAAAGCAGGGATTGTCGGAAAGTGAGAAAATTAACGCTTCCAAATATGAGCATGAAGACTGAAATCTAAAGCAGACGAGAGAAGCAATCTTCAAAGAATACGAACAACTGATGGTAAGAATCGACTGGAACCGGAATAAAAATGTTGTTCTAGGATAGTCTCAGAGCGCAGAGTTCTATATTTTACCTGTGATTCAGGCCGTTAATTATACTGTGAGGACACACAGGGCGTAAAGCAGTGTTTCTCAACCGCCGGGCCGCGGCCCGGTACCGGATCCAGGCATCAGTTGTACCGGGCCCTCGTCTTATAGAAAAAAGAATTTACTGGGCCGCGGTCTGACAAAGTTTGAGGACCACTGGCGTAGAGCAAAACATTCACGCATTCTTAACTTTGACATGGGATGGAAGTAAGGGCCAGTTTTACGTTTAGGTCCCTTAATTGCTGGTAATTATATCTCAGCGTCCACTGCACAGATTTCATTATGAGGCTCCCCACATGTAGCTCATTACAACTCAGTGACGCTATCAACATTATCATCATCATCATCATCAAATTTCAGGCCGTTTGAGTTCGCCTGTCTAAGCGATTATATTAATACACGAATTGAGTGTCATCCTGTCTTAAGTAAAAAGTAGTAAAGTAAAGGTATCCTTGTAACAGGTCGTGGAGGCCCATAGGGTTGTGAGATGTTGAGGTTCCCACATTTTCTAGACAATCGGCTCATAGATGACGGCAATGTTGCGAGCCCTACGCGCCGGTCGCCTTTTCATTCATTCATTCATTCATTCATCAGTAATCTGTCAGACGACAGAATATTCCAAGAATATTCCTGCTACTCATTTCTGTCAGAGGCTTAGTCGACCCCAGGGCCACAGAACGGATGGAAGGATTGGGTCAATTGAAAAAATCCAATGACCTCATCGGGACTTGAACCCGCGACCTTCCGGCTTGTAGAAGCTACCGCGTGCCCCCTCTTAATTAAGTTACACATGATTATCCTCAGTTCCTCCCAGCGAACGCTGTGATATGACCATCAAAAAGGCGATGATTCCTTTCTCCCCAGCAGGGCTACGTCTTAAGAAATATTCGACTCCAAATAACTTGTTTAACTGACTCGTCACAATTAAATTACGTAAGAGCCAAACCTTGGTATGTTTCATTTCCCTGTATCAGGCCTAATCACTACACAAAACATCTTTACTCTTTATATGTTCTTTCATATGAAGTGCACATCTCTCTCTCTCTCTCTGTGGCGCTACAGCCCCAATTTGGGCCCAGGCCTACCTCCATGAAACTCTCCGTTTCACTTCGGTTTACTAGATCTTACACATGCGGTAAGACTCCTTGGGCGAGTGATCAGCTCGTCGCAAGGCCTCTACCTGTAGACAAACACAGAAAAACGCACACAAACATCCATGCCCTGAGTGGGATTCGAACCCACGATCCCGGCTTCCGAGCGAGTGAAGACAGTGCATGCCTTAGACCGCTCGGCTACCGTGACCGGCATGAAGTGCACATAGGCCACTGAAAAAATAAACAGGGACTCATTACGGTCACCAGTCAATGTATTTGAACTACAAGAGCACTCAAACGGTTTTCGATTCAATACGTAATTAAGGGCATACAGCATAAGCTGCTAATTTAATGTGTATCCATGTTGCCTATTAGTCCTTGCTTTACTTGAAGTTCAAATCAAACTTCGGAAAATTCCACAGATACAGCTAACCGTGCACAAAATTGAAATATGACAGAAAACACAGAACTTATTCCAGCATCTTCTGACTCATGTTTAAATATGACAATCCTACTGCCTGCAAGGCTACATAACGGAATACAAGAACAAGTAGACCCACCATTTTTTACTATGGCTGTTGATTTCAATGAGAATTTGTGACTGTACTCAGTGTAATAAATATAACGTTAATTAGTTCCGTGAACAACATATCTATACTTGCAATAAACATAGAGAAAGGCCAATGAGGAATTTCAAATGACCCCACATCCCCACAAATGCTGTTTTGGCAAACATGTGGACGCTTAGTCCGCTTCAGTCTTTGTACAATATTTATTGCTTCTCTTTTACAGTCCTCGGAGGGCCGCAGTTCCGCGGTGCGCTGATCGCTTTCCCTCGACTTGCACGACGTCGCCCACATCCTAAAAATAGACTCCCTGCTGTGCAGCCAAGAACCAATGATCGAGGAGTTAATAACAGGAAACCACCTGCCTTCTCCAGAGGAGCTGCAGGATGCCAGCATCCTGTCTTCAGATGTATGGGTGAACTGCTCGGCAAGCGGGTAAGTATACAGACTCTCCGAAGAGAACGGTCGTGGTTTGACGGGTGCTCAAACTAGCTGTCCGATTGTGATTAAGCAAGCTATGGTAAAATGATTGGTTACGGGTTCGATAACAAGGGCATAGCTTATTCTTTTCGTTACTGCTGAATCCATATGAGCCCCAAGGTCTAACCCGCATCATATAGTATACGTTTTGTCCACTTATTCAGACACTGTTTTCAGGGACATCGAGTCTGAAACCGTACAAGGAAATCCGTATCTGAAGTTCCTGAAAAAACCTGAGCACCTTGCTGCCACCTGGCGACCTAAAGACGAATTTGTGGTGCCATCTGGAATGTACATTTCCGCTGCTGCTTCGCTTCTTGTCGACCCGAAGAAAACCCTAAACGACAAAGCGAAAGCAGTCACTAGCGCCGTGAGTAATTGCTAAGATTCGCATCTATAACGTCGCTGCAGAGGGGCGCTTTCTTCCTTGTTCTAATTTGTACATCTCATTCCATAAACACATATATCGCATAATGTTCACTTTTACTACTCGTTCTTACCAGTAAATCTCTCAATCTGCTCTCATTCTTGGCTAACTGAAACTGAAAATCAGCCGGACAGCGCCAATGAGCAGTGTTGCAGTAGCAGCTGGTGTTGGATTTAGGGCAATATGACGAACTCATAGAGAAGGGAGAGTACTCTCTTAAGGTGCACATCGTCCGCATGCAGCGAGCTGGACAACCCTGATATACAGCATCCTGCCATAACCAAACTCTACGCTCTTTAATGACGATTGGATTTATATCTCAGTCGGTATAGCGACGGACTACAGGCTACACGGACGAGGTTGAATTCCCGGTAGGGTTAAGGGTGTTTTCTTTTCTCCATAGCGCCCAGAAAGGCTTTGGGGCCCATCTATCCTCCTACCCAACAAGTATCGGGGGCTCTTTCCCAGGGAGTAAAGGGACCGTGGCGTGAAGCTGACTTCCACCTAGTGCCGAGGCCAAGAATAGTCGGGCTATACCTCCACTCCTCCATACGTCTTGGTGGTGCTTAATTAATTAATCACACGGAAAACTTTACCTTACTTTTATGCAAGGAAAAGCTTCTCCCGAATTCGTGATTAACATTCCCATTCCGAAGAAAAATGAACAGGACAGTCGCCTTTTGGGCTCAGAGCCGCCCTTGGCCCATATGACATCCTGCCCTCGCACCGTATCTGAATGTAGATTTGTCTGTCTGTCTGTCTGTCCATCAACACCTCATATATCAAGTCGAGAACCGCTGGATGGACGTTTATACGAGCCTTATGGCAAACAGTCCATTTGGAAATCGTAATTTTTAATTTATTACAATCGGTAATAGCAACGTAGCTAGCGCACTAATTTTCAAAGTGGGAGCAATAGTGGCGCAACTACCGAAATGTGATTATGAGCAGTAACAATGGACGCATAGGAAGCACATTAACCAAAACAAATTAGGAACCATTACAAAGAGGGAACTCAAAGTAGCTGCAGCAATGAGATTCAGAGCCTTAAGAACGCATATACCGTTGAATGCGAATTCAGAATGGCAAGGCGCAAAGGACGCTTGTGGAAATTGTGTACACATCAGCACGGACTGCACATTTTCAATCTTCTTATTCAATAGTAGCTTTACATATCTAAATTCAGGAGCCGAGATAGCGTAGTCGGTATATCGACTGGCTATGGGCTGGACGACCAAGAGGTTGGAGTTCGAGTCCCGGTATGGTTAAGAATTTTCTCTCCTCCACATCGTCCAGACCGGCTCTGGGGTCCACCCAGCCTCCTATCCAATGACTACTAAGGGCTCTTTCCCCGGGGGTAAAGCGGCCGGAGCGTGAAATTGACCACTCAGCTCCAGCTAGTGCCGAGGTCAAGAACACGTGGCTCTACACATCCAACCCTCATACACCTTCATGGCGTAATGCGTAGTTAGTTAAGCACAGGGACAACTTTATCTTTTTACATATGTAAATTCAGAATTGAACGACAAGCAGCTTACCACACGCGCATACCAAATTCAGTGGTTGCTGCCGACTCAAATGCAGATTGAAATGTAAACAAACAGATTTTAGTACTTTAATTGTAGGGCCATGTGTGAGACCTCTAACATGAACGGTTCTGGAAATTCCCTTTCAAGCTACTCGTGAAGATAATTCTAGTATTACAAAAGGTGAGAATTATTGAACACCAGTAACGTCATAGAGGGTAAAATATTGTTCATATACAATATAATAGCCAGACATCCGTCTACATTGGCCTGTTTCTTCCAAACAGTGTGTAGTAGAAAAAAAGTTAAATGCATATAATGGTTCTCTTTGGAAGAGAGCCCCAGGAAAATTACTGATACTTTCTATTTCGAAAACTAGTGATAGTAATGTACAAAAATATTACAGATTACTTGTTTCTCCCAGCTGGTTCATCGCAGGAAAGAAATTGCAAATGCAAGAAACGTTTTTGTAAAAATAATTGATTTTCTTACACTAATAAAGAGGGTGCTCAAAAACGTAACATGACAAACTTTTAAATATTTCTCACATTATGAAGATATTAGTTGCAAAGAACTGTTTATAATTCACAGTCCATATGTGTCCCACTCTCGGTATCTCGGTAACTAATAATTATAACGGATAGCTGTTGTTGTTCCTTGTAGGAAGGAAAGCCCGGAAAACTGTGCCATCTATATCGCCGGATTCCAAATTATACTCCTAACACTCGAACGTAGCAACGGTGTTTGATTACGGGAAGAAAATTAATTATTTTGCAGATTCTTCTGTATGACAGCGCTAATTTTACACATTAGGCGATGGAAAATGCAGAATCACAAATTATACTCGGAAGAAATGGCAAATAAAACGAGTAAATTTTCGTGCTGCAGATCGTAAAAGACTTTTGTCAGTGGATTGAGAATCTTGGCGGGATGGAAAAATCACAGATGACAGAGGACACAGTGCAACAACTGTTCGAGATCGGCTTCAACACTCCAGCAGCCAGAGCTATCTGTGTGAGAGTTAAGGAACTACCTGCGGTAACTGAGAGTGCCGCCCAAGCACGCAACCTGCCGAAGGTGAGTATAATTACCAAGCCAGGCTGTTCGGATCACACCTTATTGGTTCCTTCTCCACCTCACTTCATCGTTCTTATTTTACACTGCTGCTATTTTGGGACTTCTACTGTCAATTTACTGTCGGAATTGAGACGTCTGAGGACGCTGTCTTCCTCTCCTTTACTCTCTGAGCATGCAGTAAGTTGTACGCCTAAGCCCACTTTGCTCCTTACTGAGATATCGGTTCCGGTAGGCGGTTTGTTCTGTGTGTATGAATGTATGCATGCATGCCTGAACGTATGATGTATGCACAATGGTATGAATTTATGTATGTGTATATATTCTAAATTACGGTCCTTTAAAAACAGGAAAAATCCTTTCAAGAGAATGGAAAGACACCGCCGTCCACACGTGGCCTTCCGTTATCAACTAAGGGGCGACCAGACTTGGGAGGACGAACACAACGATGGAAAGATCATGATCATCTTGGGATTCACAGGAACAGGGTTTAACGAAATAACAATGCAAGTTTCATGACGACAATTATGATCATGACGCTAATGAACAATTGTCTAGAAGCTCTGGCACGCATTTCCTGTGTCATGGTGTATGTGTATGCAGAAAGTAAATTCGTCCATGTGTATAAGTACTACCACGACAAGAAGGCTTAGAAGGGGCGTGGATATAAAGTTCCACGCATTATAGCCCTCCTCTGTGGATAGCTATGAGCGATTATTTTCAGGCTTCGGCTTCTTTGACCCGCTGGGAATGAAATTCTTGATATACATTGGGTAGGAGACTGTGTTTCAGACAGTACTCCCGTCCATGACGGAAGCCTAATTCTTACCGTTCAGCCTTTTGTGTGCAGAGATCGGTGAGTGCCGCCCTGCGACGTGAGATCTTGAGAGATGTAAATGCTGAGAGGAAGCCTGCGCGCCTTGTAGGTTTCGGCACTGCTCTGTCCACCCACTCGCCGCTCCGCTACAAGCCACCTAGAAACCAGACGCAGAAGCGCTGGCTCGACTGCCCGAATATTCCCGAAGGTCTAGAGTCAATGCAAGTGGTGTGGGAAGGCATCGCAAAGCTCAGGTATTTCACGAGATCGCACGATGCTACAAGCCGGACGGTCGCCGGAAGGTAAAATATCCTCAGATATTTTACATAGTTTCGGACTATAACATATAGAAAATATTGTTTATTCTCTATTTACCTCTTGTTTGGCAATGTGAAGTAAAATAGACACAATGACAGTTTATGCCTATTCCTCTTTTCTTTTCTTTTCTTTTCTAATTTTGCGACACTGTTTTGTTCTTGAACTTCCGGTTAGAATTTTTCTTCATATCCTTCTCAGTCCACTTCTTATTTTAGAGTGCATTTTTTCATGTATTAATGGGTTCATGAATCTCCAGGTCCACAAGATCTTACTGTCAGTGGTTGACTGAGCACTCCTCCAGGCCGCAGCCACCATACCTGGTGCAGCAAGCGATACAGGGACGGAGCCAATGTGAGTCTCAGTACTTTCTCACAGTTCATGGATTTTCTGTTTCTTCATTTTCTCACACTTCATCATTACTTTATCTCCTTACACTGTCACAATTCATTAATAAGCAGCTTTGTATTCTCAGGTTTTATGGCAATATTTTTTCTTTATGTCCTCGCAGCTTAAATCTTCCTCTTTATGTTTTCATAATCAGAAACTGACCTTCTGTTTCAGGTCGGAGCTTCCACGGCGAGGGTCGGAACGCCCAGAACAGTGCGCAGTCTCAATAAGTGCGAAGTTTTGAATAAATCTGCATGCTAACTAGTAAATTTGTTTTCGACACCGAAAATTGGCCTAATTTATTTTTGCATCATGAGCACATGACAAGCTTCTTATTCCGCCGTAGAACTACAGTCTATAGGCCATAGATTGGAAATCACTGCACCGGTGCGAAGTTTAGCATCGTTTTAGGCAACCTATTATAGGGTTTGTGCATATTAACATCTGGAGCCCCTTGATAATCCATTACCTCACCGAGCCATAATTATTTTAGTAAGAGACATTATTTCTATTACGTACTTGTTATATACTTAAAAATACTAAGAAGTGTGTTTGTCCAGAAGAAAAACAAGTGTTGTGTATTATTGAGAGCTGTAAACACATACGGTAAATTGCAAGAATCCGTCTCAGAAGTGCAATGGGTGCAGTGTGTGTCTCTCTCTACAACAGAGACCAGCTAAGAATTAAATATCTGTCTAAAATATGTACAGATATCTCATTAGGCCTAAGATCAGCAGGCGGCACTGAAGCACTGGGGATATTGGGGATAGCTGGATAGCTGGCCAGGAAATTTCGATATTAATCTGGCACCAGCTAACGAAAATATTCGTCAGTCCCGGTACAGGGAAATTATCATTTAAAGAAATCTCTGACTCACCTGTCACTGACGTCACAATATAAATTCCCACTTCGTATCATTAGGAAGTCCCTATTAATTTCCGCTGTTAGTGTTTAGAAGACAGAAACTGGGAGACCAAGGCGTAAATAGGAAGAAAATATTAAACAGGACCACAGGCAACCGGATGTCAACTACAGTCAGTTTAACTGATGAAGGATAGAGATCAACAAAAGCAGAAAATTTCCTCACCAGAGGAGCAAATCTAAGTTTTTAAAAAAATCCTGCTCCGCTGAGTGTGTTAATTTAAAAAAACTTACTTCAGTGCTCTGTACTTTATAAAAACTCTGTAAGTATTGTGGCATATACACAGGTTGCTAGGCAATGACCGCAAAACGAACAAGGAAGACGAAAGGCATTTACTTATTTTCGTCCTTCTTCAAGGTACCGAAGTTTTCATGAGATTGTTTCAGTGTTCCCCTTCCACTGTCGGTGAATTTGCCGATACACGACACTCGGTTAAGCACCACGCTACGAGCCACTTCCGAGGTAAAACCGAACAAGAGAGAACTGTTCCGGAGCACACCCTTGTTTACTGAAAAATTCTAACTAGAGAACTGATTATTTACATACCAAGCCAACTAATTGAAAAGCGAACTAAATATGTAACAAAGGAGTAAACTATCTTACTGGCTAGTTAATGAGTAACTGAATATTTTTTAATGATAGTGGGGTGGGGCTAAGTCCCTTGTACTGCGGCAACTTCTGGCCTATTGTTCCAGCCCCAGATGATAGGTGAGGGTGATTGTGGAGCAATTGGTGAAATGAAGATTGGCAGGGGAAACCGAAGTACTCAGAGAAAACCTGGCCCAGCACCACTTTGTCCACCACAAATCCCACTTGACCAGACCCAGGATCGAACCCAGGCCGCCGCGGTGGGAAGCCAGCAACTGAATATTAATAAGGCAATTAACTAAGCAATTTACTAACAAATCGTGTTGGAAACAAATACATCCACGGTGCAGGACATTTCTTGAACAGCTGATAGCTGAATTTCCGCCTTTTATGAGAACCTAATGTACGTTTGTGTGTTCAGAAAAGCCTACATTTTGACGATATCCTTAGTCAGTGGAATTCACTTCAATGAAGTTAGTAACTGAGTTGCTGATTACTGAGTAGCCAAATTAATGAAGTAATAGTCTATGGAATACATACCATATGCTCTAATACATAACTGTGCCCGTCTAGAGTTAAAATCAGACCGTTAAAGTAATCCAGGATTACACAGAAGATTTTGAATGTTTATGGCAGTGACATTCATCAAGACAGATATAACACGTAATTCAAATTCAAAGCCTGAAGTTCTGAAACATTCTCATCTTGTTGTTAAAGAATTTTAATTCCGGATTGTGAAGAATCTGACTAAAAGATCTGAGTATCATCACCCCTAAATACTGCATTAAATAAAGACAAAGAGTTTTAATATGCAAAGCAAAAAAAAAAATACATTTTTTTGACTGAAAAATTAGCAACTGAATGTCGCTGGGAGACGTACACTATTAGAGCTCAGGCAAGGGTTTACATGGACGCAGCTTTGCCTATTATTAGACATCAGTAAGAAGACTGAAGAAAATCACGAGGTATCAGTGAGGGTACCGGGTAACTTGGCCGATATTCGCAATGTGCGCCTGCAGAATGCAATTCCTGGTTGAATGCATACGAACTATGAGATTGGTGCCAGCTTGAGATCTGATAAGCATGGAACGGGTAAGTTGGTTCAAGCAGTATCGCTTTTGATTTCTATTACAGAGGTGTTCTGTTCGAATCTCGGCCGGTCATCGACTACCTGACGGATGTTCCTCTCTGTTTCATCTCAGACCCTTCAGGCAAATACCGAGATATCACCTTAAATTAGGTCACGACCGTCGCCTTCCACATCCTACCCAGTTCATTATTTATTATCATCCAATCACCGGACGCCATACAGGCTGAGTTTCTGACATCACCGGTAAATGAAACTACTTGTACAGAACAACATAAAAAAGGGCAACTTAAGACGATAAATGGTATTTTTCTAACTCATGTCACTAATCCTCGGCTTCTTGCAGAAAATGGTCTCTTAGGGCTAGATTCCTTGTCCACACACTTGTCTTCTAGTGTTGATTACTTTTAAATTTTGCGATTTAACCGCATATATTACTAGACATGACATTTAAGTTTGCAAAAACTAGGCGGAACCGAGATAGCTAGCCTATTATCAAAACAAAGCCTTGAAAATATTTATACATTCTTTCTCAACCGCTGAATCGTGAATCGTAACCAGTCCTTAAATTATATTCAGCGTTATACACGATAACCTATTAGCACAGCTAGAAAGGAATACTACTTCATAAGAACGAAAGTTTCCTGTTTCCGTTAGGGGCTAAGCAGTTCGTTTGAAATATTAATACTTTTCTCACTGTTCCCGCTTTGGCTTGGCGTCTTGAGAAGATACTAGCTGCTCAAGTAGCCAAGAAATTCCCCACCTTCTATAAAATCCGTAGGGTCATTATCACCATTGGACCCCGTAACGAGCGACTCGAATCCGGTTCGCATTCCCAAATTACATCTCTTTAATATCAGTTTTAAATGTACCTTTTCCCTAACCGTAGTCCTCTCAAGTGGACTCTTCCTGTCAGGTTCACTGACTTTCTCCATGTACTTCTCCCTCTCCCCTCCTCACGCACCCCATATGTTCAACCCCTTTCATCGTCATTTATTTCGTCACATTAAAAACATTTGGTAAATAGCTGAATCTTCAAATTATGTAGGTTCTCATTACGTGTATATACTTTTCTCCTTCGTGTTACGTGTTGCGTTCCAGGTCCCGATGTTCTGCTGAGTACCTTCAGAATATGTAAACTATTTATTACTAGAGACCGGCCTTCGAGCCCAGAGAAGATAGCAGCTGAATGGCTTTGTGCATATTTATTCTCAAGTTTTTGAACAGGAAACGGACGATGTAAGGTTCTGAACAGAACGATACAAAGAATTCTAGGAATTTAAACTTCTCTAAAGTGAGATATACATTCATACCTTTCCAAAATTATTTGAACTTTGCCATATTTTCTCAGTTTTCTCCAAATGTAGATAGTTACTATTTGCTATTCCCAGGAGCCGCGGTTGCAACTTCTGTTTAGGACTTACTGATGGACGCTGTCGCCACCTCAGCGTAACTACACTGCATCGAATCGTACGCGTAGGATGGCTCGTGGATAATTAATTATAAGACTGTGGAAGGTGGGGGTTATGGCCAAATTAGACTTATTATTTCGTAATTTTCATGGAGGGACTGAGAAAAACTACGAAACTACAAAGAATCTCAGTAAGAATAGTCGGTGCGCCGACCGTAAATCGAACTGGGAGCTTGTCGAAGAGTTACCCCACGTTCTTACTTGCTGAGTGGGTTATGTTCCTTAACTAAAGACATGCAAGGAGTCAGACGTTCACAAGAACACCACGGTTACTATCCATCTATCCATGGATCTAGACTCTAGAGCCTTCTGTTGGAGCTCGGCTGCTTTCCAGTTTCTTAATCCTATACACAGCACGAATTGCGGAGAGGAGAAATGCATATAGGATATTAGTTGAAGAGCCGGAAGGAAGGAGACCACTAGGAAGACCAAGGCGTAGGTGGGTGGACAATATTAAAATGAACATCAGAGATATAGGATTGGAGGGTATAGATTGGATTGATCTGGCTCAGGATAGGTACCGGTGGAGGTCCCTTGTCAGCACGGTAATGAACCTTCGGGTTCCATAAAATGCTGGGAAGTTCTTGAGTAGCTGCACAATTGGTAGCTTCTCAAGAAGGGCTCAGCTCCATGAATGAGTGAATCCTATACACAGTCGATGGGACTCCTTAGATGGGTGATCAGCTCGTTGCAAGGCCGCTACCTACAGACAGGACAGCACAAACACAGAATAAACGCACACAGACATCCATGACTCGAGTGGGATTCGAACCTACGACTCCAGTGTTCGAGCGGGAGAAGACAGTTCATGCTTAGACCGCTCGGCCACTGTGTCGGCACACCACGGTTACTGGGGACGGAAATGAAGACCACCGTATAAAGATTAACAGCTGATAACATTACCGGCGGATGTTGGGCAGTCGAATCATAGCACAATATCAATCCAGATAGCAGAGGATATAAGCAAGACCAGGCGACCAGGCGACCAGTCAAGTTGTCAGTGCCAGCGCAAGATTGGTGCAAGCCAGAATGGAAGACAATTTTTCCGTGAGGTAACACACTACAGTGAACTACTTAGACTATGCATATTTTTAAAACTAATTTTTGCAATTTCGCTTACCTCACCGATACTGATGTTGACTTTTGTACATAGCAATACAGTATGTCAAAGTCAATAAAAGGCATAATAGAAATGTACTAAGTCCGTCTTGAGACCGTAATAGTTGGTCAGCTGGTCAAGAAACTTCGCACCTTTCATGGATCTCAGATATTATCATGTTCACAACAGGCCTGCAATGACCCATATCCTGAGCATGTTGAATCCAGTTCACAAGATATTTCCTTAAGATCAGTTTTAATATTGCTCTCTCAACTCCAGTATAAGAATAGTTTTCCCTTTATGTTTTTCTAGTTACTTCATTAATTCAGCACCAAAAATAATTCACACACAAATTACAAAATATATGCTTATAGGCAAAAGTAAAGTTGCCTCTGAAACTAGGGACTAAGCCGTGAACGCGAAGAGAGAACATGGATCACTAAACTTCACGTACGTTTAAGCTTGGCTTTCGATTGACCGATGAAAGAAAGAGGTCGGTTTCAGTGAACCATACATTATTTTTCCTTGAAATTTATTAAATAAACCCTAGGTATATAAATATAAAATATATTTAACGTAAAAGTTTTTTGAATAAGACCAATGTATGATTACTATGCCAGACCTTTAAAATGCCTTTGTACGATGAGCCGTTATTAATAAAGAAACCAAAGGTCGATACAAATTTCATGTACCGTACGGATACGTTCCACCGATACGGGTTAGAATTGGATTTCGACAGCTTTCTTTGGTGAACATGGGATATATTCATCTTAAAGTCTGTCTTCTTTCCCCAGACTCAACATCAAATTTCACAACTGTACAAGCCTGTGTGAAAATACTGACTCTGCATTCCGCCTTTTGCGGTGTACGTGCAACGTCGGTTAAAATTCTCTCGTCTGCTGTTTGTTCTCACTACATGTTTCGGCCGAAGCAGCCGTCATCAGGTGCACATGAAGGACGTTGCTGCTCATTGAAATGATGTTCTGTTCTTCTTATGTAGTTGCTCCGGGCTACACGCAATTCTAGGTTATGTGGGTCAACCTAAACAGCTGTTGCTATGCACGTGTTTGCCTTGTGGCTTTGTTGGTTTGTTGGCTTATCTTTGGTTCAGTGTGTGGCTGTGCTGAATGCTTTTGCCGGAGCGGAAGCTTGTTGTTTGGCAGTCGGCCATCATGGCCTATATGAATACTAAGATCTTTCACTGGGCCGAAGACAACTGAAGACTGAAGCTGATACCCATCAGCACCCACAGCAGGGGTTAAGGAGTTATGGCGCTTAGACACAGGGGTATAGGCCTATATACTTGGCGGTTTCCTGTCCTAAGTTATACTTGATGGAGTCAGAGTGTGGTTTCCTAGCAGGTGTATCGTCTTCGGTTCTCGCGGGAGACTATGAAAAATATGACCTTCTGGATGTAACACCATGCAGTCTGGCACAAGTAAAAGCAGACGAATACATGGCATCACATCCAAGAAGATGGTACCTTCAGGTATTTCGTCACCTTCCATATCCATCCCAGTTGATCGTACATTGAACAGGTACAACGGTGATAGTTACAGCGATGTACTTAACACGCGATGGGGTTTGCGCTCTTGGGGCGTATTAGGTGTAGATAGTGTTTACTGTGATGTGTGATTAGCCGTAAGCAGGTGCTGACACATGTAAGCCTGTGTGAAGATATTAAGAAGTTCGTATATATGTTTGTAAATTTCGTTATAAAGTTAATCTTTGGCCGATAAGNTTTGCGCTCCTGGGGCGTATTAGGTGTAGATAGTGTTTACTGTGATGTGTGACCAGCCGTAAGCAGGCGCTGACACATGTAAGCCTGTGTGAAGATTTTAAGAAGTTCGTATATATCTTTGTAAATTTCGTTATAAAGTTAATCTTTGGCCGATAAGATGGTCGCGCGCGTTCTAAGGCATCAACTGTCTTCGCTCGCTCGAACGCTGGGATTGTGTGCTCGAATCCCCCTCAAAGGAATGGATATATGTGTGCGTTTATTCTGTGTTTGTGTTGTCCTGCCCAAGGAGTCCTTCCGTCTGTGTAAAAAATGGATTACGAAACTGAAGAAGAGGCTAGGGCCGAACAAAGGGCTGTAGGGACATTGATAAAAGAATGAAAGTTAATCTTTGACGACTCGTATACTTTGTTATAGTATTTCTATAATTCATGAATCCATGCAGCAGCGCCTTTCATTAGATAGCAAGAGTCGCTTAGTTGGTAAAGAAACTCTGCCTTTTATAAACCCCGAAGGTTCATTAGCGTGTTCATAAGAGCCCGCCACTGGACCGTATACCTAAGCCAATGAGCTAATTCGTGCGTAACTGAAAGCATAAATAGATTCATGGAAGAAATAATTTATATGTTAATTAAAGAATTGGTTAATGAGACTATAAATGCGTGATTGAACTAATAAATGCACGAATTAACGAAAGTATTTAAGTACGTATTAATGGATCAAATATGAGCGAACAAATGCACACGATTAGTAAATTTCCGCAGGAATCAATATGACATACTGAGTTCGAAATGAGTCGTCATAGAAACAAATATATGAAACCAACGCTTATCCACAGGCGTCTTAATATTCGGTGTGTATTCAAAGAAAAAGTGTATCACAACAGTTGTTGAAATGGATAGTGACTCCAGAAGAATCCTTTGTGCAGGTACCAGCAAATGGGGTACTCGGTGTCATCAGAGGAGGACCTGGCAATTGCCAGAGCGGGTGACAGGAAACCAGAGCAGCACTTCACAATGTCACACAAAGATGATACAAAACGAGTTGGAAGAAAGAAGTACACGAGATTTGATGGCTTACGAGACAACAACGATTACAAATTGAAGAACCGGACTGAAGGGGATCCTTGTACTGGAGAGGGTCCTCAGGAGTTAGACAGAGTGGACGTGTTAGATGTGAGGAAAGAGGTCCTGAAGTTGAACCCTTCTGATCTCAGGGCTGGACTTGAGCAGGTGATTCATAAAAATAATAATAAGGGTGGAAGAGGGGCGTCGGGAGGAGAACTGGAACTGAAGAGAAGGCGATTCAACGTCAAACCCTCACCGGAAACGAACCAGGATGAGCAGATATTCCAGGATTCAACACAGGTTGGTTCTCTTACTTGTACCCGTAAATAGGCAGGGCAACAGGCACAGTGCTGAGCTCGAGAGTAAATTTATTCCCAAGATCCTGGAGGATATGTTAGTAAATACTTCAGTAGAGACGAGGTTGCTAGAAATTTGCGGACAGTGAACTTGAATAGCATGCCCCATGACACCTCGTAACATGTAACCCCCAGGAAGAAAGAGGGTGAGTATAGAAGCTTCTGTTTTGCGTGCGTTACTGAGAATTAACACGTTTATAACCAGGAACACTGTGCTTTCAAGTTATGATAATTGTACAAGCGATTGGAGGTTTGATGACAACAAAACAGACGCAGAACTGCGTTGAGGAAACTCGAGGAAGACGGGATAATGATATTTTAGTAGTATGATGATACAGATGGGACTGAGATGGCTCTCAGGAAGTTTAAAAATGAGAATTTGTAAAGATCATGTTGAAACAAGGGGATATTTAGTTTAGGTGATTGCTTACTTAATATCAATCAATTGGTTGGTCAATAAATTAATCATTGGATAGGTGATCATTAAACTTGGTTTCCTTAATTAATCAATTAGGCAGTCAGTAAGTTGAAACAAGTATTGTAAAGCAGTTCCTTGTTTACCGGTAACGTTTAAAGCTGACTGAACTGTACTGACTGTTCGAGGACGTCAACAGTGAAACCACAGTCGATTGTGGCATTCCCCTTCACTAATTTTCTTGAATTGGATATGAAACGTAGTTAAACTTCCTCCTCGTCGGGGGGGGGGAGTTGACAGTTTTTCCCAGTCGGATCAACTAATGCTTCCCTTTGTGGAAGATCAAGCTACACACAGTTATACCAGCAGCAGGCCTGACCAGTCCCAGCCGGGTTAAAGTAACAGCCTTCAGTTCACTGAGAATCAGTCCGCAGTCATAAGAGTATGCATAACATTTCTTCTTCTTCTTCTTCTTCTTCGCCTTATCGTCCTCCTTCTTTATCGTTATTAGTTCTTCTCATTCACCTCCTTTTCCTTCGTCTCATTTCCCACTTCTTCATTTTTGTATTATTCTCTTCTCTCTCTCTTCGTCTCTTTTATCTTTTTCCTTTTCTCTGTCTCCCCCTCATCCCATTCCTTTCCCTTCTTAGTACTAGAGCCCGACTGGAACACTGGCCTCCCGTCCACTGTACAGGTGTCTCACTCGGTCTCGAAGGTTGCCATTTCGGACACAAAGTCGGCAAGGGGTTCGATCTCACACGAGTTATGACACGTTCACATATCCCGACCGGAAATATCGACATATTTATTGCTTACAAGGTGATTTGTAAATAGCGCCTAAAGATCCCTTGCTACGTCATCCGTGACGTCAGGTTGCACGGTGGCTACATCATAGCGTAACTGAACAGTTGATGCTGAAACGCATGCAAGGACATCGCATTTTGCATATACCCACACAAATGTAATAGCCCCATACAGCGGACGCGATACCCGGTTGCTGCAGACACAAGTCTATCATTGAGAAGACAGTAAACAGTAGAGATACGTCACTGCATAGATGCTAACTCCCAGTATTCAACAGTTAATCAAGAATAAGGCCGCGCTATAGCTCAAGAGGTTAGTCGCTGGCTTCTCATCGCGGCGGCCCGGGGTTCGATCCTGGGTGTGGTCAAGTGGGATTTGTGGTTGACAATGTGGCGCCGGGGCAGGTTTTCTCCGAGTACTTCGGTTTCCCCTGCCAATTTTCATTCTACCAATTGCTCCACAATCACCCTCACCTATCATCTGGGGCTGGTACAATAGGCCAGAAGTGGCCGCAGTACAAGGGACTTAGCCCCACCCCACTAGCAATAAAAAAATCAAGAATAGGCCTTGCTGTAAGAGACCCTAATATATATCACAGACAAGGTTAATAAAACTTCATTGTTTTCCGCATCCCATAAAGTTTTATAACAATTAGTTCGTGTTTCCTACTTTGTCTTCTCCTTCAACAATCTCCTCATTGCACTAAATTTTTAATGTTTATTCAGCTTCTTTTCAAATCTTTATTCTCAAAAACTTAAGTACTACATACCAAGTAATTTGAACTGGCCGATTACAGTGACCGCGCGGTCTAAGGCAAGAACTGTCCTCGCTCGCTCGAACCCTGACATCGTGGGTTCGAATCCCACTCAAGACATGGATGTCTTGTGTGTTTATTCTGTGTGTAGGTTGCGGTCTTGCGACGGGCTGATCTCCCGTCCAAGGAGATATATCCACTGTGTGTAGGATTAAGAAACTGAAAGAACTTCCAAATTCCAACAAAAGGACTGCAGAGCCATAGACAGACGGATAACTACGACTTACTTGCTCGACAGTTTTATCACATAGAACAATTTTTTATTTTACAGGCTGTTTTCTTTTAAAATGCAATCTAATTTAGTCCATGTGTGAAAGAAAAATTTATTGATCGAAGATGCATTCACTCCCAAAGCAAATTAAATAAATAAATGAAACAGCTCCCCCTTGAAAACTCCTTAATTGATGCTGAGAACCCCGATTTTCCAGCATGTCTTCATTTCAAAACACTAGTTCGAAGTTCCGCAGCAAGTCCTACTCGCTTTAACTATGCTCACTCGCAGGTATTTGCCGAGGTCAAGAAAACGTGGGTCAACATATCCACTCCGCCGTATTTACCATTAGCAGGTATGCTAAATAAAAACAGCATAGAAAACACATACTTGCGAATTTCGTGAAATATTTCTGTTATATTTAAAAATTTATTTTGTTATTTGAACAGTTTCCATATACCTTATAAGGCAAAGTGAAAAAGGATAACGGTCATATAGTTAAAAATGTAACTTAAAAATGTTCCCGTGTTCATGCCACGAAGACGAATGGGAAGTTGACGTATAGTTCCACACATTCTGAATCTCCATTAACAGCCGAGAGAGAGCTCCCGTACCCAGTGAATAGACGTGTGAGTTGGCCCCAGAACGGAACGTGGGTCGTCCAAGCCCGTAGCTAGTCATTTTACTGTCTGGGATGATGAATAGTATTATTAAAAAGACTGAATATCGCCGCGAGCCGGAACAAATTATTTTTTTTGCGCCGATCGCTTTCGCCATGCGCTCAGCATTGTTCCAACCTCTGCTCTACCACCTTACAGAAAAGAGTTAAATGATTATGTCTGGATTCGACCTCTCCTGAGCGTACAAGAAGTCACTTCTTTCTCTGGATACAGAGCAGTTACAAGAACAGGTGACAGTCTGCCATGCCTTAAATTAGGAACTGAGACAAAGAAACATCACTGAGTTACGCTCGGGGAATTTCACATCAGTGAGAGGGTGAAAAGGAAAGGCAGACAAGCAGTCGAGCGTCTTAGAGAGTGGTTAGTTACAGTAGCGGGGCAGCAAGAGCAGTGTTGTGGTGACTGGAACACTGTTCGTAATGGGCTGGGAGCCTTACACGTGTGTTCCAGCTGTCACTCTTGGCGTCTGAGTCTGCAGTTACCAGGTAAGATCACAGTAGCAGTGGAGCATTCACATCAGTGCAGTGATGACTGGAACGCCGTTCATGTTTAGGCAGGAACCTTACACACGTGTTTCAGCTGTCACTGTTGACATCAGTGTCTACAGATACCAGGTAAGATGCAGCATATAAACACGAGGGAGAGTCAGTAAATAGGTCACAAATGGATATAAAACGTCAAACATATAATATTTGAAACTCGAAGAAACATTTATTTCTTGACATATCCTCCGCCAACATTGATAGACTTATCCCATTGCTTTACCAATGCGTCAAAACCAGTAGAAATAGAAATAGAAGTATTTTCACTGTTGTCGCAGTCCTTGCCGCACCTTCGTTTCAACCTCTTCATCATCATCGAAACGTTTGCCACCAAGGTGGTTATTTTGTGGACCAAACAGATGGAAATCACTAGGGGCTAAGTCCGGGCTGTAAGGTGGATTTTCAAGAAGTTTCCACTGTAGTTCTTGAATCTCTCCTGAGTTGTTCGGGATGTATGAGGTCTGGGGTTGTCACGATGAAGCAGCACCCCTTTTGTCAGTTGGCCTGGACGATTTCTACGAATTGCATCCCGAAGCTTGAACACAACTTCACGGTACGATGCACGATTCACATTTTCACCACGCTTCTAAAAATGGGCCAAAAGTACTTCATGAAAATTCCAAAACACGGTAAGCATAACCTTCTTAACTGATGGCGTAACCTTAAACATTTGCATGAAGGTGAACTGGGATACATATCCATTGCACTGAAGCACACTTTGATTTGGGCTGGTAGTGATGCAACCATGATTCGCCCCCAGTAACAATCCTGTTAAGCATATCTTCTCCTTCCCCTGCATACAGCAAGAGATGTTAGACAGACCAATTCGGTTCATTTATTTATCCTTCAGTTGTCTGGGCACCTACCATGTGCACATTTTCTTAAACTTCAAAGGATCATGCATTATGCTGTATGCAAAATCATGGGAATACGCTATTGCAGTCGCTACACTGTCTGTCATTATCCTCCTGTCAGCTCGAATCAACTCTTCCACTCGCTGCACAGCTGCTTCTGTCGCAATCTCAAGAGGACGACCTGGTCAGGCATTGTCTGCAACTTTCGAACGTCCTTTAGAGAATTTCTCAACCCAATTGTGAACCGCTTTAAACGGGAAACAATTTTGGGCCGTAAACGGGAAACATTTCTTTATGAATGTCTTTGACACTAAGTCCTTTTCCCACAAAAATCGCACACCAGAACGCTGCTCTTCGGTAGGATACTCCTCAAGCTCGATCGCCATTTTGACTACTGAAAGCAGCCTCTGAACATGCGAATGCGTGTCTGCTACCTAGACTGTCATGAAGCTGGACTGTGATACACATAGAACACCTATTACGACCATTAGAGCTGTTTTACTTCCATTTGTGAACTATATACTGACTCTCCCTCGTAGTTACAGCAATGGAGACGCCAGTACAGTGCTGTGGTGACTGAACCGTTGCTCCCAATCGGCTGGGTGCCTTACACGCGTGTTACCA